TAGTAGGCATTAGAACAACTCCATTCCTTGCTTAATCTTTAAATTGGTTGTAGCAGAGTTAAAAATGCTCATTAGATTGCATCTTATTTCAAATGACATTTCAGAATTCTAAAAAATCTATACTTAAGGATGGGAGAAATAAGAACTGTTGGAGCTGGGGATTTAGCTCAGCGGCATAAGCGCCTGCCTTGCAAGCAGGCAGTTGTGAGTTTGATCCCTGGTACCGATAAAAAAGAAAAAGACAAAAAAAAAATTTAAAAAAAAGAACTGTTGGACAAAGAATAAATAACATCAATTACACAGGATAAATAAATTGTGGACATCTAAAATGCACTATGATGATACGTGTACTTTGCTAAGGTAGTATATCTTAAATATTCTTGCTACATGCACATGCACAAAGATAACTTTGGGGTGATTACTTGTAATTATCACTTTATGACATGTATGTATGTGCCTACCACACCTCCTTCCTACTCCCCAGGTGAATATCCTCCATCTAATAAGGCTATAGATTTCACTGAAACTAGCAGGGTGTCAGATGAGAAGAAATAGGTATCCAATGTGTCTGGGCAAATTATATTGCAGCTTTACAGGTTCTGATGATCTCAACAGGGCAGAAGTCAACTGATAGATTTCTTTTACTTCATATTGGAAAAATACAATATGTCCTGGGGGTTTCAGAGGAAAATAGAATTTATTCCCATCAAAAACACGAGAAGAGACACAAATAAGCACTTGATAAGGACAGAGGACAGATGACTAAGGATCACATACCTCACTCCTCCAAGCCTCACTCTCCCAACACAATTCCAAGAAGAGTAAGTTTGCTACATGGTCAGAGAGCATTTATAAAAGAATTTGTACTTAACTCAGTCTTGTAGAGGAAGTAGATATTTGCACTAAGTCTACTCTGAAATTCATGCAAAATTCATAGGTGTTTGTCTTCAAATACCAAAATATATTTCAAATACAATATTTCTTGGTAATTACTTGATATATTTATTTTATGCAGTATTTATCTGTTGCCAAAGTCTTTCTGTTTTTGTTATTCAATCTGGTAGCCACTAGCCATATGTGATTTCTTCAAGACATGAAATAAGTCAAATATGAACTAAAATGAACTAAATGCCAAACATACATCAATTTTTAAGACTTGGCAAGCTAACAAGATAGAAAATATATTAATAATGTTTATATTTATTACATATCAAACTCGTACTTTGGAAGACTGTCTTAAATAAAATACATTATTTAAATTAATTCCATTATTTCTTTTTACTTTTAAAAATGTATCTATTTGTAAATTTCCTATGTGATTTGCATTTTTCATCTGTTGCAACAATGGGGGCTTTTTATGCTCATCCATATTGATGTCATTTGCTTTCACCTAAGGAGATACTATCACTGCTTAATTTTTTCCATGTGCAAGTGACTTTTAATGGCTTTATAATGGTGATGTCTAACAGTCTCTTACAGAGTATACTGGCAATTATATACAAATGTATTGCGTTTCATTTCCTGATAGTGGAACTTGGGAATAATCATTGGGGATTATTGCTGGGTCTGTGATTTGTACAAAAGGGAAGAAATTTCTTTTCTACACTGATTAGGGCAAAACCATTAATACTGTTGATGTTTTCTTTAAAATGTTTTGTTACCAAATGCAATTAATTCAATCAAACAACTATAGCGGATCAAAAAATGAGAAAACCTATTGCACTGAATGTTTAACTTTGGTTAGAATACTTATCTAACTCAATTTATATAATATGCTGTAACATGCTGTAACATAAAAATAGAATAACTCAGGTGTATTTTAATGGATAAAAGTATATGTAAATCACACAGACACTACAGTGATCCAAAGCTAGAAATTCCTAATATTTCATGCCTGTCACTAGTTGACTATTTAGAGTCTCAGTCTTATTCTATTCAGGCTGCTATAATAAATTATCACAGGCTTGACAGCTTATAAACAACGAACGTTTATTTCTCACAGTTATAGAGGATGTGAAATCTAAGATCAAGTCTTGAGCAAATTCTATGTTAGGTGAGGTCCTACCTTCTTATCCATAAATGGTGTCTTCTAATTGTGTCCTTACTAGTGGCAGGCATGAATGATCTCTCTCAAGCCTTTATCATAAGGGCATTCACTAGTCACATTTATGAGGACTCTTCCCCATGATCTAATCACTTCTAAAATTCCACACATCCTTATGCCTTCACTTTGAGGTAAGGATTTAACATCTGAATTTGGGGGAAGCACAATAATTCTGATCACAGCAGAAAGGAGCTGTGACTTTTACTTAAGAATAACAACCAAACCTGAGGAACTTGATATGGATAGAGGCAGAGAAATGATAGTCTGACCTCACTGTATCCAAATTCTTTATCATTAGTGTTGTCCATTAGCTGAACCCAAAAAGGAGCTGTACTAATGCAATTCATGCTGATGAGTTTCCTAGAGTAGACAGGAAGAGGGTGCAGAGTGGATCTGCAAAGGCTAACAGAAAATACGTGATGCATTCGGTTTTCAGAATAATCATCATACTTCAAGACACATAGATTATCTTCCCTCCCTCATTCTTCTCTATCCCCTCCCAACTATAGAATTTCATCTTAAACCCAGAGCAGAATTAGTATACACATGTCCACAATCAGTGCTGTTTCTCAAATACTTCATATTCTCTTGGACCTCATCTACTCCCATACCCTGGGTTACCACGGATGGCTCTAAAATCTAGAACTCTACACACACTTCTTGTATTAGTTACTTTTTACTTGTTGCTGAGACAAAATACCTGATGCCCAAGTTGGGAAAGGAAAGGTTTTATTTCTTACAGTTTTTGGAGGTTTCAGTCCACACTCAGCTGGCTCCCAGGCAGTGGGCATGTCTGGGCCGCCTTTCATGGCGGCTGCAAAACAGCAAATTCGAACCAGTGAAGAGCAAGACATACCTTCTTCCTACCATTGCATCACATCCTGGCTCCACCCCTTTGTGGGTGGAACACTGACACCATCAATCCAAGCACTATACAATGAACCATGACAAATGAACAAGCAAACTCATGAGTCCTGGGGGCCACAGACATAAACCATGACACTTCTTCACTACCCTCTAGATGGGCATATCCAATTGTCTGCCTTCTACCTCTACCTAATACCTCTTGTCTCTACCTGGACACCTCACAGGCTTCTCAAAAAAGTTGTTTAAAAAAGTCTAACCTTTATTGCATGATATTCTGACAAAGTTGTAATACCAATAACCGTTTCTTATTTTATGAGGAAGATAATTTAGAGGAAGTTGTTTTAATTGTGATTAAGAAAGATTCCCACTGGCAATATTGGTTACTATAAAGGTCTGAAAATTTGTCATTGGCTATGGTCCATACTCCAAGATATAGATTGAAACTTTTGCCATTTACAGTGCCTTGTTTTTATTTTATTGAGACAGAGTCTCGCTATGTATTCCAGGTTGGCAATGATCTTGCTATTAGTTTAGGTTGGTCTTGAACTCAGAATGATCATCCTATCTCAGCCTCTCAGATGCTAAGATTAGACATGAGTACCACCATTCCTGGGCTCTGCATATTAATTTTAATTTCCTATCACCTGGATAATTGTACTATCTAATGCTGGGCACTTTCAATGGGTTTTTTAGGCTGTTAGTATCATAAGGCCCCTACGATGAGAAGAATCTTTAGGGTTTGAGGTGTTATTCTACACAGGCATCACAACTGGTAAGAAGTAGGGATGAGTTTCAGATTTAGAATTTACTTTCAGAGCAATATGCACATTGATTCTCTACAATATTGATCACAAATCATTCTGTTCAGGGCAGAAGGATTAGAAGGTCAAGAGCATGTATTTCTGAGTATGACATTGAAAATGCTCGTGGTAAGGAAAATATGATAGGGCTTGAGAAAACTGGAGGAAAACTGTTATAGTGTTAAAATAGCAGAAGATACAAGACATTTAAAACTGTTTTACATTTTTTTCAAGCTATTAGTTAAGCATGCACTGTAACAAGCACTGGGGATAGAAAACCAATGAAGACAATTTGACTCTCATGGGGATACAGACTTGAACATTAAAATAAATTTTAAAATTAAGGTAAATTTCAATGCAAGTTCCTTAAAGCATTGGTGAAATTAAGTACGGGCAGATTCATTCACTCATTCACTCGTTCATTTTATTCACTCAAAGCATTTCTTGAGTAGCCACCAGAAGCTGGAGAAAAAATAAGAGACAAAGCCTTTATCCTGAAGAAACACACACCCTACTAAAAATGCTTCTGGGGTTTGGTCAGGTTAGAAGAATGGAGCTACAGGGACACAGAAGGACGGAATGTCAGTGTCACTGGAGCAGAAAGCTAAGACTAAGTAGGTTGGCAATAGGAGATTAGGAAGAATCGTGATAGACAAACGTAAAACAGTTTCAGTACCTTATTAAGACAACCCAAATTGATGCTGGTGAAATGCAAGAGGAATTATATTTTCCTGTGACTGATTAGTTAAAATAATTCTGAGGACAAAATCATATATTTTGAAATATTAGAATGGGCTGTATTCTGTAGTTGAATGTAATAGCATACGTATTAGTAAAATATGACAGGAAGGGAATTTCCACAACTGGATTTATGCATTAGCTAGATGGGACAGGAAGATCAACGAAATTCCAAGGTTGGTTAGGCCAGATGGCTTTGGAACAGGAGTTCACAGTCCTCAGCTTTTAGAGTATCAGAGAAAGTACAACACTATAGTTGAGAGAAGCTAAGAATTCAGCCTGGAAAGAGGATGGAGCTCAAGGGACCATAATCATTCATCGCCTCTGCTTCCAGAAACTCATTCTGAAAAGATCTCCCATCAGGAGCTCTTTTGTCAGCAAACACAGCTCTACCAGAGAGAATGCTGCCCTTCGAACGCCACACGCTCGGTTGCTACGGTAACCGTCAACAGCCCGCACTCGAGGGGCCTCTCCCCCATTGGTTTAGAGGACGAAGCGTGCGTCTGACGTCACTGCGCGGCGTCTGGGGAAGCGAGCGGCGCGAAGCCCGGGTTCCCTGAACGCGAGCGGTCATCAGTGGCCCCTGTGGCTGTTGGCCCGGGGACCTGTGGCGGCGGCTGTGTGAGGAAGGCTGCGGCAGAAAGGCGCGGTAGGAACGAGCGCCTGCGCGGTGGCGGCGGGGATGAGGTTTCTGCCGCACATCCGTCGGGCCGGCTTCCTGGCGGGCCTGTGGATCCGGGCCGCAGGCGGCGGTTGCTTAAGACCCCGAGTTCCCGAGCTCTGCGGGCGCCCCTGGCCCTTCCGGGGTCCGCCTGGGCCAGACTCGGCTTCGCAGGCCGCGATCGGAACCAGCCACTCCCTCTTCCCCCCTTTATAACATCTCCTTTTCGCCACTGCGTGTCTGCCTGGGTTTCTGTGACCACTGACTGATCCTGAAACTGGGTCTAAGATATTTGGGGGCGGGTGATGGTGAGGATGTTGGAAAACAGAAAACAAATTTTAGGATTACTTTATGATAGAACTGACTGGGACAAATGGGTGTCGCATTCTCTCTGGCCCTTGGAATTTGAAAGCACTTTTACATGTGGGACGCACCTTCTCCAGTGAAGGACCAGTAAACTTTGGAAGTTTTGTAGTCATAGGCTTAGAGAGCAGGGGAAAAGGTGTGCTGTGTCCCCAAGAGCTTAGCAAGCAGTGCAGTGGTCTCAGAAACTGTGTTGGGGAAGAAAGCAGATATTACAGAGAAATAATAGGATATTTGAGTTGTCTAAAACCATGACAGTGTGTTTTCCTAGCATTGACAACCGTGTTGGAAGACCCTAATGTGATCTGCTGTATCCAGGCAAAGGGAGAATAGGTCTACAGTGAAGCTTCAGTTGCCTAGGTTTTTCTCAGACATTATGACATAGCGAGGGGTTCCACATTTGGTGGAGCTGTGGATTCTGAGAATAAAATGAAGGGTGATGGCTATAATATTATAACGCAAAATAAAATATTTCTTACCACTTCACTTTCTCTGCCACTACTCTGCATCACCATCCTCCTCCACACATGGCACTTACTGAAAAAGCACTCGAAAGAGCTGTTGAGTGTAAGACGTATTGATCATTTTTCTTGCACACCCAGCTTATGTTCAGATTGGTCAGTGGTTTAAGTAGTTTTTTTCCTTTTTTAAAAAGTCGAGCACACTTAATTTGCCTTAAAGAGGGGTAATTTTAATGAGTGAAAAAGAAATTGTGTGAAAGACACTCATTTACATAGGGTATTTTTGAGGGATTTCAGGGACTTGTTGAATTCATTCAAATTATAAAGCATTACTGTGTTACAGGAACAACTGTTTGGCATAAGTAGGGATACACAAACGACTCCCTTTAGAAAATCTGGTATACTTTCATCCTGTGGCCAGAGTGTTTCAGATGAGCCTCTTACATTGTACTTTGACAAGTCCAGTGAGAAAAGTTATTTTTGTGTATCTTGTTTTCTTGTGCATGGTTTGCATTATGCATAATGGTTTGCATTATGATAAAGTTGTCATAATTTCCTGTCTTCCTCTTAGTCTTTTTCAGGTATTTGGCTCTGTACTATATGTTTTATGTGTATTCTGCTCTGGTTTACACTGTATTCTGTTTTGATCAGAGATAAACAAGTTTTGAAATCAACTACAGAAATAAAATGGAAGCAGTGCAGAAACCAGGGTGTGCTGCAGGTGTCCAGTTGAGAAACAGACTAACAGGTCAGAACTTTGTTTTTCTAAATAAAGAAACCAGCTTTCTTAATGAGATCTTCTGTGTTATAAATGAAGCAGGGTGTGCTTTATTACTCTTTCCTGGTTTTTGGTGATACCTGTTTTTGTTCTAGGTAACTGTGATCAAAGAGCATCTGCGGGTACACAAATAAAACAGAGATCCACAGCTCAGCGTAGCAAATCTACATCATTAACCAGTTCTCCAGAGTCTGTAGGAAAACTTCATCCTCGACCAAGTGATAAACTGAATCCTAAAACAATTAATCCTGTAAGTACAAAAATGATTCCCAGCTCACCAAATTTTTAAAGGTAACATGCATTGAGCCTCCACCTACTACTGCTTGATTCCAGACGCTGCTTGAGTTCCCCCATTTGCTTGGGTTGAGCTAGGTTAGTCAGTTTAGTGCGCTCTGTCAAATTCATCGATGAACCCTGTAGAGTATAACATGGACTGTGTGTCCATTTTTAATTTTTTCTGTTATTTTACTGACATCAGTAAGAGACCTTTCTTGGGTGACACGGTTGTATAGTTACGTAAAGGTATTTGGCCATTGTTCTGCATTCTCTATATTAGTTCCATCTACAGTCCTAATTGTAACACTAGCCTCCTTTTTCCCTCTCAAAGGGAATTTAGTCACATTTAACAAAACCTGAGGTTTATTTATGTAAAAGTACATGAATTAAACTCTGTAGGTCAGTGAATTGTCCAAAAATTAAATTGCCTGTGCAGTACCACCAGGTATCCTCTGGCCTCTGCTCAGCCTTGATATAGAGCAGCGAAGGCAAACCATTTAGAGCTCTCAGTGATAGAAGCAGCCCACTGCGGGTCATGTGCTGTAGGTGCGGTTCACCACCACTGGTGTACGGTAAGGTGATAATGGTTTCCTCCTTTGAAGGGGAGCGTGCGAGCAGCTGAGGCTCCTGGCTGACTTTGCTGCCAGATGAATACAGGTTTCCTCTGACCTCAGGATGTAGAACTACCAGAACCTGTTCAACTTGACACTTGCCCACCTTCACCTTCCCTCCCATATGTACAGCATTATTTCTTCTTCATCATCCTTACTGTGCAGTCTTCCTTCCCTAAACAGTTCAGAAACAGCAAATAGAGGAAACCCCGAGTGGCATTCAAAAGAGTTCAGCAGTAGTGGAAGCTGCAAGGTAGCAGCACAGGCATCTAGCTTGCTAGATGAAGTAGGCCCGCAGTGGCAAACCTATGGCACGTGTGGCATGTTGGGCTGTTTGTGCAAGGCCTAAAAAGCCTGTCATCACTGGTATAGAGTATCCATTTAGAGTTAACTTTTGTTGGAGGACAAGAGTGAGATCCAAAATTCAGTTTTAAAACTCAGCCCAAGTTCTAGCTAGTAATTTGTAGGAATAGAGGAATAGTTTTACTCTTTCTGGCCATAGTTCCTGCTTTAAAAATAATCCGTGCTTTAAAATTACTTTCAAATTTTCATGTCAAATAAGTTACTTCAAAATGTGTGCTCTGAGTTGGTTTTTAAGCTTCATATATTTTTTTAAATGAGCTAGTTATATTTTTAACATAGGATATTGCATTTTTATTTCATAATTTCATATGATTATATGCAGAGTACCGTGAGATGAAATACTTGTGTCTAAATTCTTAAATCTGTGATTAACTATGTTGAAATTGTCAAGGCTGTGGCTGTTTGATTTGTTGATTGACCATCACATCTTCCAGGGTAGAATTAGTCTGTTCTTACTATCATATCAAATCTGTGGCCTGTTATGAGCTGGACCTCGCAGCAGGAGGGAGGCAGGGGGCTAGCCAGTGAAGCTTCATCTGCAATCACTGCTGCTCCTGGATCCCTGGCTTCGCTGCCTGAGCTCTGCCTCCTGTCCGTTCAGAGGGCATCACATTCTCATACCTGGCAATATATACTTTACTGTGAACCCCATATGCTGGTGATCTAAGTTTATACTCATTTGAATTATTCCAAAACCTCTTGTAATCATGCCCTCAATATTATTGTCTGTGAAACTCTTCCCTGGAGACCACTAGAGTATATTATATAGCAAAACTGGAAGGTTTAAAGTTATATAATCAAGAAAGTACATTCAGAAATGTATTTGTAAGAATCTTGTGTAATCATTGACTCCCTCACTGAATTGAACTCAATCAGTTATGTTTTTCTTCATTTTGCTGTGCTGGCATTAAACCAAGGGCCTTCATACTACTACATCTCCAGCTCTTTTAATTTTTAAATTTTGAGACAAGGACTTATTAAAGTTGCCCAGGCAGGACTTGAACTTGTATCCTTCTCCCTTGGTCCTGGCGTTATAGGTGTGTGCCACCCCAGCAGGCTTTGACCCAATGTTTTTTGCTTGTTTGTTTGTTTGTTTTTTCTTACAGATCATAAAGACAGTCTGGAGAAATTATGCAGATTCTATAACTGTATATATCACTTTATTTGGCTGGGGGAGGGCGAGTAGAAGATAGTGCTGCTACCTGAAAACAAGTTCACTTTCTGTGTGTTTAACCCCACTTCTCCATTCAGCCCTCACGTTGTGTAGGATTTTAGCCACCTTCAAACCCTCTGAAACAAGTTAAGGGTAACTAACAAAACATGTACAAAGCTGGTTGTGGTTTTAATAACACTGAGGCAATTTTTCTTCAGAGTTATAGCTGAGCAAAAATGATGTCCAGAATGCCAAGTGGCAGTTTGAAAATTGGGATGACTATTTTTCTCTGATCACAGCAGGATTAAAATTGATCAGATATCACAAAGTGAAGTTGATGATAATATTTTGAATTTTTTTGTTTCAGTTTGGTGAACAGTCACGAGTCCCTTCTGCATTTGCTGCTATTTATTCTAAAGGAGGTATTCCTTGCAGGTAAAATCAGTACAGTTTAAAACTGATTCTTCAGGATAATTGAGTAAAATCAATACAGTATTCAGTTTAAATATATTCACAGTCTTATTTACTAGAAAGATTGAAATAGCGATAACGTATTACCCTGGGTGTTGGATTGGCATTGTTGAAGAAAGCCGTTGAATTCCAAAATGTAATTATGGAGAACTGAGATCTGTGGCAAACCGTGAAATAATTTAAAAAATGGAATGATTCAGTTTTAAAACTATAAATTTAAGTACTTACAGGTTTGGGCAAATTGAAAGTAAAGAATCCTATCTTGGTAAAGTGAAATATGACAATTTAATGAAGCTGCATATCTTACTAAATGTGGATATTTGATTTTACTTCTTTTTCCATGTGATTCTTGCTGTCTTTCTTTACAGTATATTTAATTTTTGCCCATCCTAGATGATAGAAAATTTGATTTTCAACATGGAAAAGATAATCACATCATTTATTTTTTGTTTTTGTTCTAAAATTTTAAAAAATTGCAGTTATTAGTAGTTTTTTCAAATATTAAGTGGAAAAAAAGGTCAAAAGTATTCTTCAATTTATTATTATTTCATATTTAGATTTTGAATTGAAGCCCTATTTTAAAGTTCTTGAATGTGACCCTTCTCCTCCAGCAGTTGAGTTTTGCTAAAAATGTAAAACAGTTACAGAGGCCTCTGGCTCTTAGCAAAACAACACTAACAGGTGAGAAGTTGAGGTGAGACCCTTACAAGGAAGGTGGAGAGAAGCCTGAGGTTGGTAAATTAGCTCACTGTCAGTAGAGTGTGGTGACTTCTTGGATATATTCATCTATCCGTGTCACATTGTGTATCTTAAATATATACAGTATAGTTCACGTCAGTTTCATCTCAATGGGTAGACTATAATTCAAGAGCTACCTGAATAGGCCTTTGTACCTTCTGGTCTATTTTGTTCACTGTAACAGGAATTAAATCTGATTTTTCTTTATATTATTAGTGTTAGGGTTACATGAGCTGTGTATGAAAATGCTTTTCATAAAACATTTTTTCTAATCACTTTGTTTATTTTTAATTTCTGTAGGTCATGCATTTTGTTGGAATCATAACAAAGAGCTAGCAACTGAAAAATTAGTATTAATAAATAATAGTATACTTAAATTCCATAATTATAAATATAACAATTGTAAAGTTACCAGATTTGCTGAAAGAGTAGGGTTATAGGATTATAGCCATTATTTATTTTTTATTTATTTATTTTTTTGAGGGGGTACAGGAATCAAACTCAGTGCCTCCTGCTTGCCAGGCAGGTGCAGTGCCAGTGGACTAAATCCCTGGCCCTGTAGTCATTATTTTGAAAAATGTCTTTTTAAGTTTTTTTTCTTTGTTTTTTTTAAACCATGACCTACCTATGTGCCATAGGGTAATTCTAACACATTTATGCTCTGTAAGTTGTATTTATGTTAGATCCCTGTATTCACTGTATTTTGTGTTGTAGATTGGTACATGGCTCAGTGAAACACAGATTGCAGTGGGACTGTCCTCCGGAAAATCTTCCATTTGATCCTCTTCTTATTACTCTAGCTGAGGTAAGTGGTACCTCTCTCCTGAATGTAAGATAGGAGAAAAAATTTTTTTAAATTACATTAAATGCTTTGTTGAGGATCAGTAAATCTTATCCTATAATTTTGAAGAACTAAATAATAGGTATAAAAATATTTCACCCATTTAGAAAGTAATTATGATTGTTCCTGTTTCACTTTTCTTAATGTTTTTGTTTGTTTGTTTTCTCTTTGGTCTCTTCTGTGAGCAGAGGCTTCTCCTGCCTTACATGTGTTCTTTGTTCCACAGTTTTTCATGTGATTTAACTTATAATTGCTAAAATTATGCTATGACCCAGGATTTCTACTTAGCCCAGTAGAGATTCAATTTTTTCTGTTGTTAGCAACATGATAATGAATCATGCTTTTGTTGTTGTGTCTTTATCAGGGTCTGAGAGAGACTAAGCATCCATACACCTTTGTGTCCAAGGAGGGTTTTAGAGAATTACTTTTAGTCAAAGGTGCTGCTGAGAAAGCTGTACCTTTGCTTCCTAAGCTGATTCCTGTGCTAAAGGCAGCTCTGGTATGTCATTTATTTCATTGTACTATTTTCTTTTCTTTCTTTCTTTTTTTTTTTTTCCAAATCACATGAAAGAAAAGAAAGTTCTGATAGAGGAGGAACACTTCATGCCTCTCTTCTGTTGCCACCAGCTTACTCCAGCTTGTGGTTTTGATAACTGTGCAGCATTAGGCCACTGTAAAGGGCTGTGTCCCAGAGGGCTGTGTGATTATGTCCTTGAAGGTAACTTTAGAGGATGCTCTCAAGAAGGGACATCTTGAGTAATTAGAGGAAGTGGCGAACTCATTTTAGTCTATTGGCTGCAGGTATTTTAATTAAAATTTGTGTTTTGCCTCCGGATCTTCTGTGTAAATTAAAAGTTATTTTAAAAATTCTGATTGTCACTATCTCCTAAAGTTAATCTTACTTTTTTCTCAACCTGCTTTCCCTTCTCACTAACCTACCCCCCACACACACCATTTTCCTAATTAACTGATTCCACAGGTTCATTCAGATGATGAAGTGTTTGAACGTGGATTGAGTGCTTTGGTACAGTTGAGTGTGGTCGTTGGTCCTTCTCTAAATGGTCATCTGAAGCACCTGCTTACAAGTGTAAGTTCTGTGGCATTAGATAATGATGTGCAAATGTGTCTTCTTTTTTAAGTCTTTAAATTGTTAAAATATCTCAAAACCTTAAACTCATCATCTTCACCAAAAAATAAGAAAAATAGAAATTAGACTTAGTAATTCATAAAACATTTTTTTTTTTTTTGTCTTTTTCATTTTTATCGGTACCAGGGATCGAACTCACGACTGCCTGCTTGCAAGGCAGGCGCTTATGCCACTGAGCTAAATCCCCAGCCCTATAAAACATTTTAATAAAGTATAGTAAGGCTAACTCTCTTTAATATTTCTGATTGGAAAGTGCCTAGAAGAGTAGGCCTAAGGCCCACAATAAGAAGTAAACAAAAGTTAAATGGGTATAATTTAACAAGCAATGTAATGTCATTACCCCGCTGGTCATGAATTATAAGCAGTGCTCACACTCCACACGACAAGCCTCTTTTTTTTGTTTTTTTTTTTTCTTTTTTTCTTTACTGTGAGCCTGTCGGTTACACTTAGGATGCTACATTTGGGACCCTGCAGCCTTAGGTTTAGTGAGTTGCTAGCCATACTCACGAAAGCGAGAGAAGCTGCTGCTCTGGTTCCCTTCTTACAGCATAAAGGTGCACACACAGGTCAGCACAGTGAAGAGGCAGGCAGAGCAGCGGCCAGGAGAGTAGGCACCGAGATTCGGATTTTTCTTTCCCAGCAAAGTTGTGCAGTCAGTGCTTGCCACTCCCAACAGCAGCGTGCAGGAGAGGGCCTGCAGTTTTGCTGACCAGAGAAATGCACTTGAGCCTTGGTGTCTAGGGTTTTTATTGGGGCCTGTCTCTTAGCATGACTGCCTGCCTGTGTGGTCGGCATTAGCTTCCCAGATTCTGCTGATACTCTGTGGCCCAGCGACCCCACCATAAATCACACTGTTAGTGTGGACTAGTCTGAGCCAAAGTCCTAAGGCTGCCGTGGATGCTCGTACCTGACAGTGCATTCTATAGTCATGGAGGTCACCACCCAGAAGGTAGGGATACAGTCCGAAGCTTTCTTTAATCAAGGTAATCCTTTACTGCACCTGATACAAAGACTAATGTCCTAGCCAGCATCATGTCCAAAGAGGCAAGGGGCTTGGGGATGGTCCTGCTATACTGTCTGAAACATTAAACCCCATGACTGTGGAGACTTTTTTTTTTGTCATACTTTAGGGTGTCAGTAGGCCCTGTGAGTATCTACTTTTTAGGTTGTCGTTTTCACATTGTTTTCTCTTTCTGGGAGTTTCTCCTGACCTTGCCTAATCTTCCATTGTGGGGTGGAGGGCTTCGTTACTCAGTGCTCTGTGGTATGAAGTATTCCTACTAGGTTACATCCATACCTGCACGGAGGAAAGAGCAGAAATCAACTTTGTGTGGCAGGAGCCTTAGAAGTGTTTGCTGAATGATGAGCTCCTTCCTGAGCTTCATTTGTATTTCTAGAAAGTAGCCCCATGAGAAGTCTAAACTGAAATGTTTTGGTCTGTGGACGCAGTAATGCAGATGGTTTGGTGGAAATACTGTTGAAAGTTAAGCTTGCTTATGTCCCTGCTTGCTCCTGTGATCTGCCTCACTCATCTTAGGCCCTTAACTTTTTAAAAAAAAAACTTCCACTTTTGCAACTAGGACCCACTCAGAGATACCCCTTTGGGTAAGTGGTTGTCTTAGTTACTGTCTTTATTGCTGAGACACAGCACTCATTGCCCACGACTGAAGGAAGAGAGCTTTCTTTTAGCTCACATTTCAGTCCATATGTGCTGGCCCTGAGGCAGGATGGTATGGCACAGGAGTGTGGTGGAGGAACAGCGGCTCACCTGTGGCAGACAGGAAGCCAGGGGTGAAGGGAGCCGCCTGGGAAGAAGATAAGGCCTTCCAGACTGCACCCTTCCCAGCAGACCCCACAGCAGGTCAGCTGTCAGCCACCAGAACCCAGTCCCTTCCACCTAAGTGCATGAGGATCTTGGCGGAAAACTGGGTTGGTGACTTGTCGTCTGATTTCTGTATCTATCTTTAGTGAATTACTCATAAATACTCTTTGTCACCTCTTATTATAGGAAAATGTGTTCTTTAGAGATACAACTTTCTATCATGGTCCCCCAAATATGATTGCATTTTACAAAATGAAACATACGATATTTCATAGAAAACTTACTTCACTTATACTCTAACAGATATTGCAGAATTAGCGTTACTTCAAATAATGTCAATTCATTTTGGTAAAGAAGGACAGTAGTGTCTAGTACATGTAAATTTTTATGCAATATTGCCTGAAAGTAGTCGTGAAATTCTAAAGTGAAATGCTGATAGTTGTACTTATGGTGAATATTTCTACTTTTTCAAATCATCTTATGCTGCTTCCTGTTTTGCTTCAAAAGCTCTCCAAGAGACTGATGGACAAGAAATTCAAAGAGCCAATCACTAGTGCATTGCAGAAGCTAGAGCACCATGGTGGGAGTGTAAGTACAGCATCATTCCTTAAATCCTTTGTAAAGAGTGTTAATCTTATGGCAGAATTTCCTGCATGCCTTTTGTCAGCTGCAGGTAACCGTGTGAAGGTGGCAGTGTGATATTTTTGCATAGAGCTCAGGGTCTGTCCTGGCAAGGTCACATAGTTCTTGAGTACTAGGGTACAGACCCAGGCTGAGTAAATACAGGGACTGTACCTCACCTCACTGTACTCCCCACACCACACTCCATATACTACAGCTTAGTTTTTCAAATATTTTAGACAGTTTTGTTTTGACCATTGAAAGTCTTAAAAAAAAAAAAATTAAAAAGAGGAGCACTTAGCTCATCAGATATTTTTATTCTTATTTATTTATTTGGTCCTAGAGAGCAAACTCAGGGCCTTGTGCATCCCAAGCAGGCAGAGCCAGGCCCCTTTCCCCTTCCACGTGCCTTGTCTCAGTTTCAGTGTCTGCCTGTAAAGACTGAAATGACACTAGCCACTGACACCTGTGCGCACACACAGTCTAGCTTAGCTGATTATTCTCAACTTGCCAAAGAGCAAAAACAGGGGATTTTATTACTGTGTGTTGTCAAATAACTATGTTGGTTAAATTTTCATCAAAAAGTGTTTAGGCAGTCTAGTTTTAGAAACAAGTCAGTCTGATTTTGGAGATTTTTATAATGATAGACTTATGTGTCATTTTATATTGCAAGACTTGGTTTCATTTGAGATACTTTTGCTAAAGGAATTCATTACAAAAAAAAATAAGGTAATTATATGTAATTTCAAAATGTGGCCATTTTGGTGTAAATTTTGCCGAAATTATCCAATTTGACTAATTTCAATCACTTTAAGTGGATTACGTTATTTCCCTGGCAAATGCCTAGAGAAAAATTTATGAAGAGGAGGAGCCTCTCTAATCCTACCAGGCCATGAATTTCTTTGTTGTGTTGAAGTCCGAGGCAGAGCATAAGCACTCAGACACCTCGTTGAGGTGTACAGAACCAGCCCCTAGCACTCGCATGTCCCCTCTTAGCAGAAGCAAACTGCTGGCTTACAAATAGCTGGCTGCTGGGAGAATGTTAGTGCAAAATCTATTTGCCTTTTGTATTCCTATAAGGGTGACACCTTTTTATTCAGAAGCTTTCTACATGGTTTTCCATATCCTGTGGACCACTGTGGGGCATGGGGCAGTAAAAAGGACAGGGCCAGCATGTGGTATCTCATGGGTGGGTGTGCACACGCACATGTGCATGTGTGTGAACTAAATTTCACAAACAGTACATCAAGATTTGGACCCAGAATATCAATATAGTTGATACTCCCAGGACCCTAAGATAGTTTCTCTTTTATTGGGATTCAGTTTTATTGACTTGAGTATATTAATAAAGAATAAATAAAATGAAAAAGGCTTTTTCATTGTTGGGGCTCCTAAGTATTTATTTCTTCAGATTTCTAGTACCTTCCTTCTGTCCTACTTAACATTTTAAAAATAGTTTATGTAATCTCAATAGAAAATTTTCTATTGGAGTTACATATCAATAACTTCCTCTTGGTTAATTATCATATTTGATTTTGGCATTTTGCAGTCCTATATGAATTTAATGAATGCTCTTCATTCTCTTTTAAGAACTTAGAGCTTATATAAGATTTTTTTCTTAAATGTTAGAAGTTTTTAAAAACATTCTTCTCAGCCACTCAGTTCACATTTCTTACGACATGTGTATATTACAATGACATAAAATCCCAACTTCTGAGAAAATAAAATAATATTCATTACAATCACACAGTTACTTTTATAATTGATCTTTTATTACTTGCCTTAAATTGAAATCAGTTCTTTCTTGGGCTGATTTAGTTTTTTTTTTTTTTTATTTACAAGGAAAAAGAAAAAAACAGAACAAAACAAAACAGTGTAAGAGTACAAGTAATACAGAACTACAAAAAAAAACAGTAAGAAATCACCAGTTAATAGATTATACACTATCATCTTAGAAACAGTGGTTCAGGTCACAGGATCAAGGCATACAAAGTGAACATTCAAACAGTGAGACTGCAAATAGTTGTGTTCAATCATCTAATCACAAATATTAATATGGTCATCTATTTAACACACCTAAACGCTCTTGCTGTTTTATTCTTTTAGGGCACTTTTTTTTTTTTTCTCTCTTTATTACAACAAAATTTACACATTTTGGGTTTTATTGCTCCCATAAATCTTACTACTTTTTTTTGTAAGAGAATAAAATCAAACATGATAAAACAAAGCTGTTAGTCAAAACCAAGGATAGACATAGCACATGATGTAAAAACAGAGTACAAGGTTATCAACAATGGTTACCATAATGCCTCTTGCTTCCTTAAGAAGAATTGTCTATCTCATTAGGTATTATAAAGTTGAACAAAACAGTAGAGAACAAGACCAATAAATCCTGAACATTGTAAATCTTACAGAACTTCAAAAGAGGATAATAGTCAAACCAGAATGGGCATCATAGTGAATCTTATTGCCTTCAAAGTAGTTGCCTATACCCTCAAATTGATACTATCATATAGAGTAGAACAGAGTCTATAATCAATCAAAACAAGATAGTGGGAGTATTACAGGACTTCAAATCAACTTAATAGGAAATCAAAAAAGTTACTATAATATATCCTGCTAGTTTTTTTGATTTTTTTCCCCCTTAGTTTAAAAAAGAAATAAAAAAAATTAAATAATTTTTTAATGAATAAGGGAGAGGTTGAGATAAAAGAGGGCATAACAGCATAACAATACAGGTTAAAGCATGCCAGTTTCAGCAACCTAGTGCTTCACCACCAAATAACCCGACTTAATAGCAGTTACCATGGGGTCTTTTTCCTTGAAATATTTGAATATAACTTCATATGCTATAGCATCAAACATATCAAGACAGTGTAACACCATTAAAGTGGATGAAAGCATTGTAGAGTATTTAGAACCAGCTAACAGAAAAATGAACAATGGTTTCTGTATTGTCTCTTTGCCTATAACAATTTTTGTTTATACTACCATATATGATAAAATCCAGCAAGATACAACATGATAAAACCAATAGAGACAGAAAAGCCATAGTTTGGTGGGGCTTTAAAACAAGATGGTATTAAATCAGCACTAGCTATTATGATGTCTTGTTTTCTTCAAAATAGCTGTTCATTGCATCACAGGCCATAATATCAAACAGCCCAGAATAAAGCCATTCCAATTAATGAGTGAAAACTTTATAAGGCTTCAAGGCCACATAATGGGGAATCATGATTACCACATATTTTTATATATTTGAATCATTATTTACATTAGGGAAACTTTGGTATTCACACATGCAAGATTGATTTATTTCACTTATGAGTATGGTCTCCAGCTGTGCCCATTTATTGATAAATATCTCAATGTGATCCTTCTTTATAGCTGAGTAGTACTCCATTGTATAGAAATACCATAACTTTTTTATCCATTCTTCAGTTGATGGACACTTGGGTTGTTTCCAAAATCTGGCGATTACAAATTGTGCTGCTATAAACATAGGTGTGCATATATCACTGTGGTATAATGCTTTCAGTTCTGGGAATATGCCTAGAAGTGGAATAGCTGGAACAAATGGGACTTCCAGTTTTTTGAGAAATCTCCAGACTGACCTCCACAAAGGTTGTACCAGTCTACACTCCCACCAACAGTGTAGGAGAGTTCCTTTTTCCCCACAACCTCTCCAGCACTTGTTGTTGTTGGTTTTCTTGATCCTAGCCATTCTTTGAGGAGTGAGATAATGTGGTTTTAATTTGCATTTCCCTAATGACCAATGATGACGAACATTTTTTCATGTATTTATTTGCCATTTGTATTTCTTCATCTGAGAAGTGTGTATTCATCTCAGATGCCCATTTTTGGATTGGGTCTTTGAATTTTAGGGGTCTTAGTTTTTTTTAATTCTGTATATGTTTTAGACAAAAGTCCCTTGTCTGAGGGGGAGTTCACTAAGATCTTTTCCCAGTTTGTGGTTTTCTTTTCACTATGCTGGAGGTTTTTTTTTTTTTTCCTTGCAGAAACTTTTTAATAAGAGGTGGACCCAGTTATTGATTCTGGGAAATGTTTCCTGTGCATTTTGAATCCTGTTCATGAATTCTCTACCTACCCCTATGTCTTCATGGTTTCTACCTAATTTGTCTTCCAATAGATTTAGTGTTTCTGTTTTAATATTCAGATCTTTGATCCATTTAGATTTTAATTTAGTACATGGTGATAGACTTGGGTCTAGTTTTAGTTTTTGGCAAATGGAGAGCCAGTTTTTCCAACACCATTTGTTAAAGAGACTGTCGTTCTTCCAGTGAACCTGCTTGGCTCCTTTATCAAAGATAAGGCGGTTGAGTGTGTTTGTAGTTGTGGTTTTATCTTCTAATCGATTCCATTGATCTTCGTCTCTGTTTTAATTCCAGTACCATGTTGATTTTACTACTGTTGCTTTGTAGTATAACTTCAAGTCAGGGATTGTGATGCCTCCTGCCTTGCCTTTGCTGCTTAGAATTGCCTTTGCTATTCTAGGTCTCTTCTGATTCCAGATGAATTTTAGGGGTGATTTTTCTAGATTTATAAGGTATGTTGATGGTATTTTTATTGGGATTGCATTGAATCTGTATAACCGTTTTGGGAGACTGGCCATTTTCACAATGTTTGTTCTTCCTATCCATGAGCATGGATGTCTTTCCATTTTCTGAGATCATCTTCAATTTCTTCTTTCAGTGTATTATAATTTTCTCTGTATAGAACTTTCACTTCTTTCATAAGAGTAATTCCTAAATATTTCATTTTTTTGCTTGCTAGTGTGAAGAGTGTGGCTTCTCTTATTTTTCTCTCTGTGATTTTGTTGTGTATAGGAATGCTATTGATTTTATATCCATCTACATTACTGAATTTATTTATTATATCTAAGAGGCTTTCAATGGAGTTTAGGGGGTCTTCTATGTAGAGTATCATGTCATCTGCAAACAATGACAATTTAACTTCTTCTTTTTGTACCTTTACCCCTTTTATTTCTCTTGTCTAATTGTTCTGGCTAGTACTTCCAGTACTATATTAAATAGGAGTGGTGATAAAAGGACATCCTTGTCTTGTGCCTGATTTTAGAGTAAAGGCTTTCAACTTTTGGCCATTTAGTATGATACTGGCTGTTGGTTTGTCGTAGATGGCCTTTATTATATTGAGGTAAAGATCATCTCTATTCCAATTTTCTGTAAAGTTCTTATCATGAATGAATGTTGGACTTTATCGAAAGCTTTTTCTGCATCTATAGAAATGATCATGTGGTTCTTACTTTTGGCTTTATTGATATGGTGGATTACATTTATTGATTTACATGTGTTGAACCATCCCTGCATGCCTGGGATGAATTCCACTTGGTCATGGTGTATAATCTTCTTGATGATTTGCTGCATCCTATTTGCCAATATTTTATTGAGGATTTTTCATCTGTGTTCATTAGGGAGATTGGTCTGTAGTTCTCTTTTTCAATTGGGTCTTTTTCAGGTTTTGGTACTAGAGTAATATTTGCTTCCAGGAATGACTTGAAAAGGATTGCTTCCCTTTCAATTTCATTGAATAGTTTGAGGAGTGTCAGCATTAGGTCTTCTTTGTATTTCTTGTAGAATTCTGCAGTGAATCCGTCTGGGCCTGGGCTCTTCTTTGTAGGTAAGGAATTAATTACATGTTCAATTTCATTGATGGAGATTGGGTTATTCAGCAGTTTTACATCCTCTTGATCTAGTTTTGGTACTTCATATGTTTCTAATAATCTGTCTATTTCTTCTGTTATCAAACCTTTTAGAGTAGAGGTTTTCGAAATAGGTGTTGATAATCTTCTGTATTTCTATAGAGTCTGTAGAGATTTTACCTTTTTCATTTCTTCTTGCATGACTTTGAGCTTTTTCTTCCCTTTTTTAAATAAGGTTGGCTAGGGGCTTGTCAATTTTATTTATTCTTTCAAAGGACCAACTTTTTGTTTCGTTGATTCTTCAGATTGTTTTCTTAGTCTCTATTGCATTGATTTCTGTTCTGATTTTTATAATTTCCTCTCTTCTTTTGGCTTTGAGCTTGACTTGCTCTTCTTTTTCTTGCTGTTTGATGTGTAGCATCAGGTTGTTTATTTGTATTCGTTCTGTTTTCCTGATGTGGGAACTCAGTGCAATAAATTTTCCTGTGAGGACGGCTTTCATTGCATCCCTCAGATTCTGGTAAGTTGTATCTGTATTTTCATTTTCTTGTAGGTATTGTTTAATTTCTTCTTTAATTTCCTATGTGACCCACTGATTACTCAGGAGTGTGTTATTCAGTTTCCATGTGTTTGTGGGATTTTTGCATTATCTTTTATCGTTAATTTCTAATTTAATAGCGCTATGGTCCGATAGCATGCAAGGGACAATTTCAACTCTTTTGCATTTATTTAAATATGTTCTGTGAGTTAATATATAGTCTATTTTAGAGAATGTCCCGTGTACTGCTGAGAAGAATGTGTTCTGTTGTTGTTGGATGGAATACTCTGTATATGTCTATTAAGTCCATTTGTTTACAGGTGTGATTCAGTTCTTTTATTTCTTTGTTGATTTTCTGTCTGGTTGATCTGTCCATTGGTGTCAATGGTGTTTTAAGATCTCCTGTTAGAATTGTGTTACTGCTGATTTGGTTTTTCATTTCTGTTAGTACTTGTTTTATATAACTGGGTGCTCTGGAGTTTGGTGCACATATATTTAAGATAGTTGCCTCTTCCTCTTGGAGTTTTCCCCTAACCAGTACGTAGTGACCTTCTTTATCCCTTCTGATCATTATTGGCTTGACGTTCACTTTGTCTGCAAACAGAATAGCTACCCCCGCTTTTTTTGGGTTCCTGTTGCATGAAGTATTGTTTTCCATCCTTTGACTTTCAGTCCGTGAGTATCCTTTTGGGTTAGATGGGTTTCTTGTAGATAGCATATGGTTGGATTTTTTTTCTTGATTCATTCAGCCAGTCTGTTTCTTTTAATTTGTGTATTGAGACCATTTACATTAATAGTTAGAACTCTTATATATTGGTTTATTGTTGACGTTACCTTTCTGCTGTTGCATGTTTATCTTTCTGCTCTGTTTAATAGTCTGCTTTGTTTAGTGGTTTTTTCCTAAATGTATCTAGGCTATCTTTCAGTATTCTTTGCAGGGTTGGCTTGGTGATCATGAAGTTTTTCAGCTGATCTTTGTCATGGAAGTATCTTATTTCTCCATCGATTTTGAAGGACAGTTTTGCAGGGTACATTAGCCTAGGTTGGAAATCATTTTCCTTTAGGATCTGAAGTACTTCACTCCATGCTCTTCTTGACTTTATTGTTTGTGCTGAGAAGTCTGCTGTGATTCTGATAGGTTTTCCTTCATAGGTCATCTGTCTTTTCTCTCTGACAGCCTTTAATATTCTGTTCTTTTGTTCGATTTCTGGGATGGTCATTATTATATGTCTGGGTGTAGATTTATTTTGGTTATAGCTATTTGGAGTTCGATATGCTTCATTGATCTTGGTATCAGTTTCCAATCTCATGTTTGGGAAATTTTCAGCTATTACTTCTCTAAATATCCTCTTGACATCCTTTATGTTGTCCCCTTCTTTTTCATTTATCCCTATCAACCTTATGTTGTTTCTCTTTGCGTCATCTTGCAGGTGTTGAATTGTTATTTCCTGATTTCTTCTTATTTTTAAAAGATCTTTTCTTTCCTGTTCACTGGCTGCAATCTTGTCTTTGAGGTCTGAGATTCTATCTTCACATTCATTCAGGCGGTTTTTACAACTTTCAGTGGAGTTTTTGATTTCTTGTATATCTCTTTGCATCTGTTTTATGTATTCTGTTTGTTTCTTACATTGTTCATCAAGGGATTCTATCCTTTTATTTAGTTCCTCCAATTTTTTAACTGCGTCTTCTTTAGCTATGTTTAGCATCTGCTTCATTTCTTTTATCATTTCTTCTTTTACCTGAGAGATTATTTCTGGTTTGAATTCCTTTAAGGCTTCCCAGAGTTGCTTCTTTATTTCAGTTACTATTATTTCAGGTATTTGTTATGTGCCATGTGTTTTCTTCTATGCACATGGCTCCTAGGCTTTCTTGGGATGGGCTGGATGTTTGAGATTGCATTTTGGTCTTTCGCTTTGTCATTTTCCTGTATTTTAGAACTTCAAGTGTTGTTCCAGGTGTGGGAGAGAGTTCCACCAGCCTGGGATGGGGTTCCCTGTGGTGGCCCCACTCACTGGACCCAGCAGGGATCCACGGCCTGGTCCCCAGGCCAGGAAGAAAGTTCCCGCAGGCTGGGTGGGATTCCCAGCCGCTGCTGCTCCACTCACCAGTCCAGTAGGGAACCCGATTTAGTTTTCTTTCTAAGTAATTGATTCATTTGTCTTGGAAAGGGGTATTCTACACGCAGCTTGATCTTTGTTGCCTTATTGGGTACGTGAGAACTTCAACTCCACAGCACTTCCTCTCCTGAGTTCTTTTAAGCAGTAAACGCACTCCTCAGTGTGATCCTTAAAGGTGGACTTTGTGTTCCTTCCGGTACAGAGCATGAAAATCAGTGGAGAGAAGGTATTAGCCAGAGTGTGACAGTGAGACAAATGGGGGAGACTGAACTTAAATATTTCTCTGCCTCCTCCTGCTCCAGATACTCCAAAACATATATTTTTAAGCTCAGAAACAAAGTTCTACTCCCATTTCTCATTCCTTCATTTTGTTCTTACCCTGTTTCTATTTGTCTTGAGTTCTGGAGTCTTTTTAGGCATATTCTTACCTGTTGGGTAACTTCATACTAATGCCGCTAATTTTTTTTCTGTGAACAGGGAAGCCTTATCATCATCAAATCCAAAATTCCAACGTATTGCTCTGTATGCTGTTGAAAAAGGGCGCCAAAAACACCGTCTTCCTGCTAATAAGCGTCAGACACTGACCACGGGTACTCATCAAATCTTTATTCAGTTCATTTATTTTTGTAAATCACGGCCACCATTCATTACTTGTATTTACAGATTAAGCTGAATATATGTAGTCCTGCTGAACTGGAGTAAAATTTATTTGTTTATAAAAAAGAATGGGTAATGATGAGAAGCTATTAAAAGAACTTCTATGATTATTTGTGTTGAGAACCATTATTGAGTTTATAAGATTAGATGTATTTGTATTTCTTCTAGTGCCTTTTTATTTATAACATTTGTTTTGTAATCGTACAGTTGTACACTTATTTTTGTAAATATCTGAGGGATATTATTTCTTGATTTTATTTATCAAGGCTGTGAAGTTTAAATAGTGGACAAACATTTGTGAATTTACTAAAATTATTTGTAAATATGTATTTTATAATATAGAGTGTGTGGAAAAAGCTTATTTCTTGATTATTCTAGTTTCAAGAATTTTTTAAAAATATGTAAATTCTATTGCAAGCATGTTGTTTATTACAACTTACTAAAATTACCTAAATTTTAGGTATTAATTATATGCAAGTAAATGTTATTTTTGCATTTTGTAGAATGAAATTACTGATGAACATATGTAGATACTTAGAAATTAAAATCTTAAAACTCTTACATGTATCGTCAGTGGTTTTGTTTTGCTTATTTTAAAAAAATATATATATAGAACGTAAGTTCACAAAGAAATATAGTTCAGAATTGCTGAGCCAGTAGAAGTGGATTGTAGGTCATCCTGTAGAGGAAGGAATAGATGAAGGGAAATAGGAAACAGGAGATGAATCTGTCTTACTGGCAAGGAAGGGCTTTAGAGATTTGAGAATCCACACCAAATGCAAAAACCACGATACACGCTGCAGAGGACAAGGATGAGAAATTACTGTCTTACCTCTGTTACCTCAACAGGCTTATATCCTAGAAGCCCTGCACAAAAGCCTTTCCTTTTTCTGCCCCTCAGACACTTGTTTTGACATCCTTACAGTTCATTTCAGATGCAGTCTCAGTTCTCATTTGAAAGAAACCATTAATTATCAAGCATCCCTAGTGCACCAATGCTGTCCTCTTTCAGAGCGCTTCCTTCCGGTTCGGTGTGTGGCGCTCTGTTTCATCAGCTGTCCAGCCCCTCATCACATCCTCCCACCATGCCAGCTGCAGCAGCTGCCTGCCCATTGGCCAGGCTTTGACTTTTTTTCTCATATTCAGTACCACCCACAGATATCTGTAATCTAGAAGATGCCATAGGGAAAGAGTAATGTTTTAAATCTAGTAATTACTGACAAAATGTGTTAGAATAAAGAGCCATAATACAGTAGAGTAATAAACACTTTATTTTGCTTTTATTTTTCTTTTTGAAATACAAAATGTGCACATTGAGTACACAAACACGCGATGGCAGGTTTCAGTGTACATGTATTGTACTACAATGTCTACACTGGTGGTAGCAGGGCAGCAGTCAACATCCTATCTCTACACCAGAATAGATACCTGATTTATTGTTGCAAAGACAGTTGTAGATTTCATCCTCCTGCAGCCTCGTGGTCTTTGATGTTTCTACCAAACACGAAGATGTGTGTATCTGTGGTACTGTTGTGGCATTTTTACAGTTTTGACTTAAGATCATTAAGGAGGATCTGAATTGTTGGCATTCTATTTGAGCTAAATTATAATGCAATCCAGATGAGTTGTTCATCATCTATTGTCTTTTCCTGTGAAATCTTGGTGGTGGTTGTCAGTGTGATAGAATCACTGTTACCAAAGTGGATTCTGCTTGCTATTTGTTCCTAGTACACTTTCGGGTAGTTGGGTTTCTTTGACCCCAAATGGCTTGTAATATAAACATGCTGTGGGGAAGTCAGGGCAAAGGAGATGGAATTGGTCTTTAATACTGTCAGGGATTATTTTTTGTTGAGCATTATTATGTATCAAAGGACAGATATCCTGACCCTTTGCCTATGTAAACTTCCTTGCTTTGAACTTCCGCTTAATAGCCTCCTAGATACAGTCCACTTGTAAGATTAAACCAGCCCAAAATCATACATATTTTGTAGGCCTTTGCTGTAATACGTGGAAAAGTGCTTATTAAAATAAATTTTATTAGGCATATGTTGACATTCAGTAATAAACTAATTTTTTGTTATAAAAAATGCCAGATAATGTCTTTAACAGAAGGTGGGAAATCTATAGAAATTGGAAAATTACGCAGTTTTGGTTTCCAATTGTAGTAATCTTACTTTGTTAATGTTACATAAATGTAAGGAAGTGAAATTAACTTCTGGAAATAATACAGATGTACATATTTTAGAAAATAATTTGAAATCCTCGGACTGAATACCTACAAATGAATAGCAAAAAACACTGATATTTTAAAATTACTAATGTGTGAAAGCCTCAATAATCCCATGACTAAAGGATCAAAAAACTATACACCAGATTCTATTACTTTTGAATATCCAGAGTGTGAAATGAGTTAGAATATCTCATGAACTCAGTGCCGTTATGAAAGGGATGCAAATTATAAATGAAAAACTCAAATCTTCCTGGGATTGCTTGATATTAAACAAAGCTTGTTGGTATAATATGCCTCAGTGTAAAGCTGAGCAATCTATGCTAAAAGTGGTAGCTCCAACTGTAAGTGTGGTAGAGTAGTTCACATTTGACAAGTTAAATCACATCTTCGAAGAGCTGCATGGAGCGCATGATGTTTTCATCCTGTAAGGAGGCAACACAGGGCTTCAGTTCAGCATGGCTGTAGCAGATGGTACCCTACTGTGCCCCTAGTGTCGCATCCCCCCCAGCTGCCTGTGCCAGTGCTCGCACACTTTCACAGCTAAATGCCATCCTGTCTCTTAGATCACAATGGATCACTGATTTTTTTTTTTTTGGCTCTTTAAACATTTCATTTAACTCATCCTTATCAGTCGAGGATATTTTTAAATCATAATGCTGGATATCTGGTAATCAGAGAGGTGTAGGAGGTAAATTAAGTGAATAAGTGAGAATTTTGGCGTTTCCACATCCATACTGCCAAATCACAGAGACTTCTGTATGGGTTCACAGACATAACGATGTGTATGACAGCTTACTGCCAACTTCGGAGGGTTGTGCTAGGGGTGTGGGAGGCAGCGTGGTGGCGGACTAGGGAGTGAGGTCTACAGTATCATGTGCCTTTCTCTGTGATTGGCTAGTTATATCTATGTGTGTGTGGACTTTGAAAAGGAATGGCCTGTCAGTGCCAACATAAAGCCCTGATTAAAGAATCCACAAATTGTGCAGTGGCTGTGTTAGGTTAGCACTGTCCTTAGTGGCGAGTTCCTAGGGCTGACTTTGGGTATTTTATAGGTACCCTTGTCAGTTTTATGGGACTGCTCTTTGTGAGCTGTTTAGTTGTGGGAAATGGTGGTTGAACCAGTTTCAGTTTGCACTGTTTGAAACCAAGTTACTGCTACATCATGAAGCAGGTTGATGTCACCAAGTTACCTGTCTGAAAGATCACCACTTCAGAAGGTAAGGTGAAAAACAGATGGTAGGAAAGGTGCAGAGCCAGAATTTAACAATAAAGAGAAAATCTACAGCCCCAACAGACTTCCTGGTCTCTGTGATTTCATTTTTAATCTTGTGTGCTTCTACATACACATCAAGTCAAATAATTCAAAATAAATTTAACATTCATTTTCCAGAATACAGATAACTACCCACATCCCCCCCCCCGCCAGAAATGTCTGCTCTATTTTTTTGTATTCGAAGACCATTATTTGTCAGTTACAAATACTAAAGGGTTTGGGAAGAAGCATAGTAAATGGGTATTTTTGTATCTCCAGGGCTTCCTAGGTAGCCTGCCTTAGAGTAGACGCCTTCTGCTGATTGCAAGACTGTCAGTTGACATTTGTTTATAAAGTGGGAGCCCTGCTGTACCTGTTGTAGAAATGCTAAGATTAGACATTTGATCTCTATGTTGTGCTTAGTTCACAGTGGCTCAGTGGCACTACTTACTGAAGCTACTGTAACTTTACAGTGACAGTTCTTTCCCCCGCATTACTTACTTTTTGGCAGCTTTCAATGAACTCGTCTATGGTCCCCATCTTTATTTTTGTCCATTTTCTGTACAAGGAAAAGAAAAAGAACAAAATGCGTATTAAGGCTTTCGATATGAAACTCTCACAACTGAACCCCATAGAAAACCCATCTGCTCATTTAATGTGGAGACCCACACCGCAGCAGGAGCTAGTGGATTCTTGGAAATTAGAGTCCTACGGTAGTGTCCTTTCCAAAGGTCAGAGTCCCTCTGCCTCAGGTGAAACTTCACATGATAGAGTTCACCAATATGTTGAAATGTGAGTGCTGGTTTTCTCATGTGGAAAATGGGGCTAATCAGGATTTTTAACATCAGAAGGTTTTGTGAGAAGCGAATAGAAACAAAAACTACAACCTGAGAATTGCTTAGTGCTCTATTTAGGATATAGTGAAGTTACCAGTGTAATAAATTTAAAACCAAAGTTACAAAGTTAGTCACATGGAAAATATTCTGCAGTTTTTTCTCTTTCAGTAAAATATATTTCACTCTAAAATCCACAGTGCTTTTCAAACATGAGGAAAGTGCTGATAATTTTGGACTGTCCATCCCTACTTTCTGTTATCATTCCTACCTGGAAAAATGTCTCCATGTGTTGTCTGGGAGCATCTTCTTTGAGGACAGGATATGTGCATTTGCCCATCATGTCGTATATTGCTTTCATTATATCGATCAAACAAGTATGAGGAACCCAGTGGAAGATGCTTGACGCATTTTCCCATATAGTTTGAACATTGTGATTTTTCAATTCTTCAAAGACAAAGCTAGCAACAGGTTTTTTTTTTTGTTTGTTTGTTTTTCCTTAAAAGCAGTTGAATAGGAATGTAAGAATCAGCCAGGCATGATGGCACAGGCCTTAATCTCAGCACTCAGGAGGCTAAGGCAGGAGGATCACTGGGAGTTTGAGGTTCGAGGCCAGTTTGGGCTATAGAATGAGTTCAAGACCAGCCTGAACTGTATAGGGAAACCCTGTTGTCATGGTTTATGTTTGTGTCCCCCAGGCATTGTGAGTTGGCATTGTGTATTTGTGATTGGTTCATTGTTTAGTGCTTGGATTGATGGTGTCAGTGCTCCACCCACAAAGGGGTGGAGCCAGGATGTGATGTGATGGCAGGAAGAAGGTGTGTCTTTTCTCTTTGCCAGTTCTGCTTTGCTGTTTGTAGCTGCCATGAAAGGCAGCCCAGCCATGCCCGCCTGTCTTGGAGCCAACTGAGTGTGGACTGAAACCTCCAAAAATTGTAAGAAATAAACCTTTCCTTTCCCAACTTTGGGCTTCAGGTGTTTTGTCTCAGCGACAAAGTAAAAAGTAACTAAGACAGAATTTGGTACCAAGGAGTGGGGTCGTTTGCTGTGACTGTACCTGGCCATGTTTTTCAAGAGGCTTTGGAAATGGCTTGTGGGAGGAGTTTGAAAAGATTTGGACATGTCGCCTGGATGCATAGTGCTGGAGCAGCTTAGGCTGTTCTGTAGAGGAGATTCTGGTCAGAGCTCAGGAAACCAGAAGGCTGATAAAAAGCCTGATGGTAAAGACCAAGCTTGGGAGGTTTCTGCTGGGAAGAAGGACTGTATTGGTTGTTGGGTTCCACATGATGTGTGTTATGGGTTGGCAGAAAGTTTGTCTGCATTTTGCTCCTGTCCAGAGACTTTGCCTGAGACTGAGACAAAGGGCAATGGATTGATTAATCTTGAAAAAGAAATTAAAAAGCAATCGAATGTTGAGGCTGTGGCATGGCTATTGTTGGTGGCTTTTAGCAAGCTTTACGTTTCTAATCAAGAACAAAGAGCCCAGCAGGATAATTTCCAATACTGTGAGTTTGGCTAGAAGGAAAATTCCAGGAAGGCTATGGATTGTAAAGACAGAGTTGAGATTTTGATTGTTGCTGGGAAACAGAGAGATAAGAAAGATGGCCCCGGGGCATCCCAAGAAGCGGGTCCCCACCCTTTGCAGCCTCACAGCCATATTGAAAATATTTGCTCAGAGGGAAAAGCTGCAGAGCACCATGTTCCAGAATGGCGACAGCGGCCCCATGAGGTTCCAGAATGGCAACAGAGGCCACATGAGTTTCCAGAATGGTGGCAACACGGAGAAGCTTTTCATCACAATCAGGTAAACAGAGCCCTGGGATCCAGGCAACTGACCCCTACAGCCAAGAGAGAGAAAAGCGTGGCTACTGCTACATCTAGCAGCAAACCTTGGCAGCATCTACAAGGTGCTGATTGTAGGTGCAAGGAAAATGCACAAATTCTGATTTGCACCTTCCACCTCGATTGCAAAGGGCCTGGCTGGCCAAGCAGTGTGCCCCTTGAGAGGGCAATTTGTAAAGATGTAAGTGTGAAGCCAAAGGGGCAGTGGAGACCCCAGAAGTTTGGAAAAGCCAGGAATGTGGATTATCCAAGGGAAGCTGCAAAAAGCGAGCAGAGAGTATTTAAGAGAAAAGCTGTGGGAGCTGAAATTGCTGGAAGTGCCCCGGGGGTGGAATCACCCAAGCTTTTTGGAGCTTGCAACCAGATTGCTTCAGATGCTGAGCGTAAAACTCTAGGACTTAATGTTTGCCCTGCTGGATGTTGGACTTGCTTTGTTTCCAATACTTTATATTCTCCTGTTTGTAACTTTTGGAGTGGTAATGTTTATCTTGTGTCTTTGCATTTCAGAAATGTTTAACCTTGTTTCATTTGTACAGGGGGTTACAGTTAAGAGTTTGCCGTAGATCTTGGAGGAGACTTGGGACTTGGACTGTTCAGCAATGCTGAAACTTAGGACTTTGGCAACTTTTGGAGGTGGACTAAATGTCTTTTGTATAAAGGATGTACATGAGTCCTTGGGGCCAGGGGTGGAATGTCATGGTTTATGTCTGTGTCCCCCAGGCCTCATGAGTTTGCATTGTGTATTTGTGATTGGTTCATTGTCTAGTGCTTGGATTGGATTGATGGTGTCAGTGCTCCACCCACAAATGGGTTGAGCCAGGATGTGATGTAATGGCAGAAAGAAAGTGTGTCTTTTCTCTTTGCCAGTTCCACTTTGCTGTTTGCAGCTGCCATGAAAGGCAGCCCAGCCATGCCCGCCTGTCTTGGAGCCAACTGAGTGTGGACTGAAACCTCCAAAAAACTGTAAGAAATAAACCTTTCCTTTCCCAACTTTGGGCTTCAGGTATTTTGTCTCAGCGACAAAGTAAAAAGTAACTAACACACCTGTCTTGAAAAGGGCAAAAAAAAGAATTCTAACCTTAGTTTCAAGATGAATTCAGTTATGGTCATTAAAGAAATGTTCTGGTTTAATATTTAGATTTACACAGATTTATATAGGTTTTCATAGACTTTGTTTTATTGAGTCATATATCTAATAGTTATCCATTTCAATTTATTGAGCTATGTTGCATTTAGAATTGCTGATATGACAAATTATAACTAATTAATTATAATTGCTAAAGTTAATTAGGATTTTAATTTTTTCCCCTGTGATTTTAAAGATGAAACTATATATGGATGCTAGTTAATGCTGGTATATACTGTAACATTTTAGCAACATTTTAAATAAAACCAAATCTAATTTTGCCCTGTCATTTTTGATCTCATGAGAGTAAACATATCTAATTTCTTAGTTATGTAGATTTACTTCAGGTTGGATTTTGAAAAAGTTTGAATTAGGTGGATCGTGTAAATATTGACAGTATTCACATCTATTACAACCACTGTAGTTTTTAATTTGTAAAGTAGCTGAAAATGTGTATGATGTTTTTAACGTAGGTAATTACCAAGAAGTTTGTTAGGCACAGGAAGCATTCATGAGACATACAAAACACAGAAAGAGGTAGAAAGAAAGTGAAGACTAAGAGATGGTTAATATTCCTTGGTCTACACCAAATATACAAGAAACACTAATTTGGAAAATGTGCTGTAGGCAGGAGCATTTAATATTCATGAAGTCTCCCTCAGTACCCATTGTTTTTTGACCCTGTGTGTCCTCTGCCTAAGAAACACAAAACCCATGAGTGCTAACCAATCTATGACTGTGACCACACAAAACCCATGACTGCTAACCAATCTATGACTGTGACCAGGCATTCTTTTAATTGTGTTTGAGTGACAGAGCAGGTTCATATGATTGGTCCTGGGTACCTTCTTACTGTGGAGCTCCTGGTTCAAAACATCTCTGGGGAAGCTTAGTGAAGTAGAAAGACAGGCCATATGAAGATTACGCACGCTCAGGAATTGTGTAGCTTTTCCTCTAACCCTCTTTGCACCCTATTGTAAGTGTGGTTTACCTACCTCATCCCTTTCCCTTGCTTCATGAGTTTTAAATCACTGTAATAAGCTCTGAGCTCTGAGCATCTTACTTGAGCCTGTGAGGATGGATAGCCTGCCTATTCATCCTGTGTTTGGAGAGACCACGTTCTGTGGGAATGACTAGATCATTCCCATAAAACACAATTTCTAGCACAGTCCATATGATTGCAAAATTGCATGTTTTCAATAGGAATCATATGGAGCAAAAGTTTTTTGGGGCCAAATATTCTAACATGGTTTAGATACATTTTCTTTCCATCTGATTTCAACCAGTATTTGTTTCTTTCCCAGTATTTATATAAATGCCAGTGGGAAACAAGGATATAATCTTGTTGTGCTTTATATTTTCTTTGGAGAGTCACCTAAACTATTCGAATCAATTCTAAATTATTTTTTATTGAATGTTTCACCCTCATATAAAGTATTTTGAATCTCCTGAAAAGATGACTCAAATTAATGATTGCAATTAGCATTTTGAAGAAATAAGAATTTTTCAGAAAATTGCTGTTAGTGAGGCATCACTTTCTTCTTTCGTGATGTAACCATCTTTATTTATGTCATACAAGTTAAATGCCCAGTTGAGTTTTTCTTGTACTGTCCCCCGAAGCAAAATGGAAAGACCCTTGATGAAATCCTGTAAAGAAATAAAAATATATTTAACAAGTTGACAAGTGTTTTTAATCATCTGTTTCTCCAAGTTCTTTATGGTTATAAACCACTCTCTTGCCTTTAATATTGTCACCTTCTAACTGAAAACTGACTTATACCAACAGTAGTGCTGGAAACTGTGTCACTACCATTTCCCAAACAACGGGAAGCTTCAGTACAAGTGATATTGAACTTCTGCTACAAATGCACAAAATGTACTGAAAAGAGTCTTAATAACACTGTTTTTAAAATAAGAGCATACACAAAAACACACCTCGCATGAAAGAGCAACTAGCAAGAAATGTGCACTGTCTATAAGAGACCAATTGTAATCTTTAAATAGAGGTCAAATTATAATTTACATGTGGGCGGTGTAAAAGCCTAAACTGAGAGCTGGATTCCTTGATTAAGCTATGTCACTTCACAGTGTTGTGTCCTCAGGTGACTGTCTCCATTTTCATATCTGGAGATGGCAATATCTACCTCATAAAGATTATGAAAGGATTAAAAAGAGTTAGGGTACCTGTGCTGGTCTCTAACAAGGGCATTGGCTATGTAAATCTGTTACGTAAATGGAGATCTCAAGTAACACTGTTGTTAAACTGATTCGATTATAGTGCAGAACCAGAGGACCAATTCATATATATTTGTCATTGTTATGTAGAGTAGGGTTATCATTACAATGTCTGTTATCTAATAATGGACTCTGAATTAAGAGTCCATTATTAAATAAGAATGAAACAGCAAAAGAGATATTCAAAAGTTGCCTTAAGAATGACTTCACATTCTCTTTTTCCACATTCTATCATTTTGTACTTTTCTCCAACTTTTGTACAAACTTTTGGATAGGTAACATTCATATAGTCCACAAGTCTAAAGTAACATAAACTGGTGAAAAATCTTCCCCTTCTTGGATCTTGTCACTTTGTTTCCCTCACAGACAATTGACCCTGGGTTTTCTACTTATTTCCAAGAATTTTTTTTAAGTGTTTACCGTAC